TCATCCACCAGTACCCCCAAGTCCTTCTTGGCAGGGCTGCTCTCAATCCCTTCATCTCCCAGCCTGTATTGATACCGGGGGTTGCCCCGACCCAGGTGCAGGACCTTGCACTTGGCCTTGTTAAACCTCATGAGGTTCACACAGGCCCACTTCTCGAGCTTGTCCAGGTCCCTCTGGATGGCATCCCGTCCCTCTGGCGTGTTGACCACACCACTCAGCTTGGTGTCATCTGCAAACTTGCTGAGGGTGCAACATACACTGTGTCCAATATAACATCTTCCACATCCACAGACTAAACTCTATGCAGTTGTTCTTCCCAAAGATCCTAGTCCACATTTTTTAAAAATTCGTTTTCACCTTAAGGAATCTGTTGTGAGACTCAGCTTAAAATTGTTCCAGATTTGGATACAGAACCACAGTGGGTAGCTACTGGAAAACAGAAATCCACTCTACTGTCTGTTTTCTTTGATGTTGTAAGGGAAAAGCACATTCACAGAGGCCAGAAAGTACTAAAACCACATACTGGTTTCATATCCAAACAGATATATTTAAAAAGAGCTTCATACTGTTTATATTAATATGATGGATGGTTGAATCTGAAAGGACCTCAAAACCCTTTTGAAAGCTTTCTGCAATCTGATTTTTTTTTTCCCCCCTGTAAGGAGGCCTGAACAAGTTTGAAATATACATCAAATATGAACTAGTCATTACCAGCTAGGTTATAAAGTAACACCTCTTTTTCCCGCTAAGTACTAAGGCAACAACATGAAAACCATAGCACAGTTACCTTAAAAACAGCAACAGGTCTTTAGGATAGCTATCTAAATCCTTGGGAATCCCATGCAGCGTCACCATCTTCACTAAGCAACTCAGCTGAAAGGACAGCACGGTTTACATCAGAGAAAGAAAACAGCATGAAAACATAAGAAAAAATAAAACAAATATAAGGATTTTACTCTGCCCCAAAGTAAGGGGGGGGGGGGGGGAGGGGAGAAAAAGACAGAAATCGGAGGTTTTGGTTCCTGAGGAACCTAGCCAACTGGGTTTTGACTTATCCTCTCTTCTGGAAAATTCAGAACTGTGGGATGGAGACCCAGGACCAGTTATGTTTGTTCTAGTCCCTTAAGCTGAAAGTGTTTTTGTTCTTGCTGAACAATCCTCATTGCTATCTTCATGACAACATCAAACACAGCATTTCGAAATATGGGAACTGACCTGGTCTTCTTCTAGCTTGACATTCTTCTTCTTCATGACTTTGGCCAGCTCCTGAAATCTTTCTGCTTCCATCTCATTGGCAGCTGCACATGTGAAGCCTTGGAGGACTGACTGGGAAAGCCTGAACATTTACAGAAAGCAAATTGGAGGGGCAAGGACTTCAGGAGAAAATTCAATGCTGATCTCCCACATTTATAATGACAAATACAGCAAGCATAAACCTCCCCCGTTCTCAAACCTTAATGCTCTCCAAACTCCACCCCTCAAAATTGCTAGTCTTGACCTATATGGGAGATCAAGAAGCCATCGCTGGTCAAATAAACATAATCTAGAGACTCGTACTGGAAGTAGAAATGCAGGGACCTCCACCCCAAGTAGTACTGCTGTATCCTGATTTACAAGATCAGTCTCCTCCCTGTGTTTTCAGTACATACCACATGTTGAAAGTGAAATGGAGTTGTGCAGATCCTTATCACTGAACATAGTTTGCACAGCCTGGGAGAGCTCAGGGAGGAGTCCTTAAAACTTTAATAGCTTTCTATGTGGAAAAGCTTCTATTGTGAAATCAGCAGGACACTGATGTCGACTCCCATTCTTTTTCCAGATATACATCATGGTTTTCAGAATTTTTCATCTCAGATACAAGAGCTGACAAAAGACATATATCAGCCCCACTAAATTTAATCCCTGGAGTAGCAGTGTGGAAGACTGACACATTCTCCGATTAGAAACGCCTTCCACAGAGGCAGTCAGAAGCAAGGTTCCAGGTGCAGTCTGAGCCAGCAGCATCATTTTAGAAAGCAAGTGTGGCTTATGGGTATGTTTTGCAGCTGACACCCTGGTAAATCTTGATGCTACATGCCTGTGTTTGGGTTTGCATATTTCCCACCTGTCATGGGAACCACGCCATACGTACCAAAGGAAACACAGAAATTGCAATCAAAGCAAACACAAACATGGAAAATGGAAGGAGAGAAGAAAAACGCTACCTGCTGAAGTCAGGCTCTGTCTTTATCACATCACTGAAAAACATGGCAGCCTGTGAAGCAAAGCCAGAGTGTCAATGGTTTACCATGCTCTTCTGCAACATTCACCTGCATTTTCAGACAGATGTGCAGAGCGGACTTACAGCTCTCTAGAGTCCAAGGCTGACACCAAGGGATAAGAAGGACACAAGCCGCTAGGATATTACCTGTTCTCGGGTCCACATTTTACTGTTGAGATCCTGAATATTGGGCTTCTCTTCCCCAAAAACAAGCAATGATTTTGGAATGTAACTGGCCAGAGCATCAGGGATATATTTAACCAGGTCAGCAGGGTGGCCTACACTGGAGGAAATCTATTAAGAAAGAAAAGTATCAAACACTCTGGCTAAAATAAACAATTGCTGGAGAAGAAATGACAAACTGGAAAGAAGCCAGGTAAATTTCCCTGCTGATCATCCAGGCATTTCTCAGAGACCTAACACTATGAAATATTTCCCATTTGACATATTCATCAGACTAGGAGAGCTGCTTGGAGCTAATACCTGGGGTTCCTGATGAATGGGAACGATTCAGTCTCTTATCAGTTTCCTACCTCCTGGCCTTATGCCCTAAAAATGTTTAACCCGACAGAAAGGAGGGACGCATCTTTCCTCTCTGCCAACCCAAACAATGTCTCAACTTGCCGAAGGCACATTGCAGAACAATCCTGTGGTGAATGAGATCCACCTAACGCTTCACACAGAGCCCTGGCAGCCCCATTGCCCCAGGACATGCTATAGGCAGGGCCTCTGGTGCGAAACACAGATCAGAGTCTCTCCTACTAGAGGGAGGATGAATAACAACAAAATTGAATGCTACACAGGCAACTTGAAGGCTAAAGTCATGGCAAGAAAAAAGGCAGAGAGGTGTCCAAATCCTATACAATCACATGGGGGCAGTGAAATAGTGCATTGCTGAAGGATCGGTCTACCCTAAAAGGGATTTTCTAAGCCGCCCTCACTTCTCACATGTTCTCACTCCAAACCATAACAATATCCTTTCTCTGGGAGCATCTTTTCAAGTCAGTGGGGAGTAGTTTCTAGGACCATGCCATAAAACAACTGTCTCTTCTGCCCTCTTCC